ATAAAGATCTCACGTAGGCCACTGCCCCAAAGCTAAAGCATTCCAATTTTAGAAATGTCATCCATCAAGAGAAAAGAAGTCTTATCACAAATACCTTTTTCATATAACTAAATGCTATTTTTAGGTACACCCAAATAAAGTGACCCTCCAATCAAGCATCTTTCTTGGCTCAAGTCCCACTATCACTTCTATAAATACCCCTCCTCACTTCACTGCCTTTCCACCCGCACTCTCTACTGCTATTCTCATTCTCACATGGTCTTTAGCTTGCCTTAAAGAGGTAACATATAGAGGAAAAATGATGAAGGGGTTGGTCACATGCCTCTTGGTCCTCCTTGTGGCTCACCAATTGGGACACCAGGCTCGAGCCATCGACTGCACGGCGGTCACTGAGTCACTCGTACAGTGTGTCACTTATCTGACGGGTGCGACCGATCAGCCGGCTGCCGCCTGTTGTGTAGGGATGAAGCACCTGACCCAAATAGCGGCCACTGTAGCCGACAAGAGGGCAGCATGCGACTGCATTAGGAAAGAGGAGGAAAGATTCCACAACATTAAGGAAGAGGCTGCAATCAAACTCCCCGGTGCATGTGGTGTGACTATCTCAGTGCCAATCTCACCCAACACCGATTGCAGCAAGTAAATTCTGCATCCATACTTTTTGATAAAGTATAAATTCCATATCTATACACCTAAGTTCTCCATGATCATGGCTACTATTACCACAATCAATATCACTCTGTACATTATCATCATTATTCCTATCGTAAACATCATAGTTGCTTGTCATCACCACCACCACCGTTATGACAGCACCTTTCTCAAATCATTTTTGAAATATTCATTTTGAAGGACTTGTTTGTACTTTCCACTTTGTTTTTTGTTCTTTTTTAAAGAATTATTTTCGCATTGCTCTAGGAGGGCCAAAGTTGATTTTTAAAACAAAAAATTCAAGAAAACCTTTCAAATACATGTACAGGCTCAATGTAATAAGAGTTAAAGAAAGTTGGATCCCATCAAGGGTGTAGGGTTACTGTGTTATTACCTAGGCTCATACATGTACAGGCTCAATGTAATAAGAGTTAAAGAAAGTTGGATCCCATCAAGCTTTGAGGTGTGGGGTTACTGTGTTATTACCTATTGGTACCAACTCAAATCTTGAAGTTCCAAAGTTCGATAGGGCTGTCAGTGTTTTAGACCTTACCCCAACTCGAAATATTCGTACAACCAACATTTTTATCTCTGTGTAACATGGATATGCATATCTATAGTCTTTAAATAGTATACAAACGTTTCATCTTTGCGAAGAAATTTTATAATTGATATTTTTGAGACGTATCTTTCGTCAAATATGATTTTCTACTTGAGAAGAAGATTATCAAATTGATATTTTTAACTCTCTTATTTGTTTCGAATAAGATGCGGGACTAAATCCTAATCTTATCTTTCGCTCTCTCTAAGGACTAGATCTCCTTCTTAGTGCTCTCTCTCTATAACTCGCTCTCTCATCATTTGCTCTATCTCTCACTCTAACGATTCGATCTCTTATCTTTGCGCTCTCTCACACAATCTAAGGATTCGATCTCTCTCTCTCTCAAGATCCGAGTGTCAAGAACGATCTTTCCCTATCCCGATTTGGAGATTTAGATTTACATGCATCCTTCTTTCTCTCTTCAATGGGCTTTTGGAAAAGGAAAAAGTTTATATAAAGTTGCAAATTTATTTTTATTTTTTGGACAAAGATTCAAAGATTTTATTGTTGAGTAGGGAGATATATTATATTATTCGAAACAACAAGAGAAGATAAAAGAGCCCCACTTTTCGTCAAAGAATCCGTCAGTGCATTAGCTTCCCTAAAACATGGACAAATGAAACAGAGATTGTTTCAACGAAATCCATGACTTGCTGCAAAAGGCCACGAAGTTCCTAGGGTAAGTGTTCCTTTTTACACCATTTAACAATATTTAAGGAGTCCCATCCACATACACAAGAACAACCTAGAAATTTATCAACTAACATTTCAACCCCACACAGCAAGGCACTAAGCTTAGTTGTTCTAACTCCAATCGGTCCAGCGAAGGAAAAAGTAGAAAAATAATATTGGCAGCAGAGTCACGTACCACCCTACCAATACCTACAATACCTAGATTCCCCAATGAACCGCTATCAAATTTTCACTCTAGGCAATCACCAGGAGGCGCCATCCAAAACTTCTTAACCTTGTACCTTGTCTCCCCAATAGAAAAAGCTACCAAGATTAGCCCTTACATCTACCTTAAAGATATTCTTTCCTTCTTTGTGTAGAGAAATTGAATTCCAAATAGAGAGTTTGATAGTCTTTAATATAAGGTTGCAACCTTAAAATGTAGAATCACAGATGCACCTCAAAAATCTATAGGAAATATTTTTTTAATGTTGAAAAAACCCTCTAATCAATCATCTCAATGTTGAGATGTATGAATAAGAAAAAAAAAAGTTTTTGAGTCCCAAAAATAGTGCATCTTGCATCACATTATATAGACCGTCCATTTTCAAGATTTTCATATATTTATAGATCTACTTGATTTTAACCATTTTTGGAATTTAAAATTTTCTATTTAGATATGAAAATGGATTTTAAGATAATACTAAGAATTTTTTACAATAAAATTACATGTTATGATAAAATTTTAAGGTGCGCCTTAATTGGATTGTTTAAGGTTGCAACCTTATAGAAACCGCACCCCTTGGAAAATGCATATGTGCTTCTCACTTGCGTTTTTTATTTAATCGTTTTTTTTTTTTCTCATTTTTATTTAATGGTTTCCACTTTCTTTCTCTTTTTGAAAAAAAATGAAACATGCTTTCTCTCTCTATTAAGTAGTTTTCCGAAAAGGTAACGTATATAAAGAGACTATTTACTTTTAGTACAAGGAGATCACAACCATTTTCATCCATCAAATTTCCAATCAAATGGTTGTAAATGCACTTGTGGCTAAACTCAAAGCCCCAAAAAAATTTCTTGAACTTCATGACATATCTCAAACCATCCAATTTAACATCTAATTGTTAGGATTAATTGTAACCTCCTTGTAATAAAGATAAATTGTCTCATAGTATACAATCCCTTGTGAAAAATGCAAATGCATCTCTCTCTATTTTAATTTGTCCTTTTGAGCAATTGTCTACACACGAGGTATCTTGATTCTAAGCTTTGGATTCATCAAGTAAATGCCAACACCCTATTGGGATGTTGAGGGCATGTTTGGATGACTTGTTATCACTAATATTTCATCTTTTCATTTAAGTTAATAGTGATAATGATATATATATGTTATTAGGCAGTGTCCCCTATAAAGTTATTTGAGATAGACTTTCTTCAAATAATTTGGTGGAAATCACATGCTTGTAACTAGAAATAGCTAAATATACTTAGAACTTCCTCAAAGAGTCAAATAACTAAACAATATTTTATATAATATATGATACTTACTGAACAGCTAACAAGATAATATTATCAAAAATATACTTAAATCTTAGATAAGATAGTATATTTCAAATAATATTAACTATCATCTAATCTGGCATTACAATATTGCATTATATTCTGTCGATTAGTATTTTCTATTTAATTAAATGGGATTTTGTATTGTAAGACCATACATATTTCCTATGGAGGTCACAATCACACTCTTCAGTCATCGGATATCACAATAGCTTGGGGTACCTCACAAAGTTAAAAAAAACTTACTCTGGACTTTGTACTCAATAATAGGTGAACCCTCAGCCACATGATTTCACATCCAACTGTTAAAATGATATGACCTCATTGAATCAAAATAAATGATATGCTATACATTTTTATTAAATAACCATGTGATTATATATTTATTTATTCCTTGCAGGATCAACTAAATTAGGGAAAATTTGGAAAAATAAAGGAGGAGCATTGTTGCATTCCAATACAATAAGAGAGGGAAGAAGTGGAAGGGATGGTTACTATCTATCTCTATATTTTTGTAGTGTTTTGGGTTGTAAGAGAGAGTTCTACGCCTCGTAAGCTCCTCGTGAAGGCTTATCCTGAAAAAGGGTAATTTAGTCATATTTATAATAAATTGCAATGGTGAACAATCGATATCATGCTCAATAAACTTAAAAATTTGTCATCTAGAATTTATGGCTTTTTTTTCTTTCTTTTTTTTTTTTTCTTTTCTGTTTGGCGTTAGACAAGCCTCTTAGATTGAGATTAACAATTTATTGCTCTACAAAGAGACTCTGCTTGTCTCGAGATGCTTTACTAGAGAGAGAGAGAGAGAGAGAGAGAGAGAGAGAGAGAGAGAGAGAGAGAGAGAGAGAGAGTAGAGAGAGAGAGTAGAGAGAGTAGTAGTAACCGTAGTAGAGTAGTAGTAGAGTAGTAGAGTAGTAGTAGTAGTACGTACGTACGTACGTA